AAAACTGCAAACAAACACAAACACACACAACATAACTATAACCTCAGTCTATAAGAAAAATAAACAACTCTTATCTAGTCCTAATAAGTCAACTCTTTTCGTGAAAATAACTTAATTGGAACAGTTAGCTTTATGTCAATATATGTTTCATCCATCACCTATAGGATATTGTGTCGTCTTTGTCATAAACAACAACAAAGAGGTTCAACAACTAAAAAATAACCCACAAAAATAACTCAAAGTACAAAACCTAAACATATCAAATATAATAGAATAAGTTAATAACAAAACATAAATTGAAAAATTTACACATAAATCTTTTCGAATCCGACCACCACCACAACTCATTGTTGCAAATTCGTTGCCACCACTACCATACTCATCGGCGGAAAACCATTGTTACCACCACAAACCAATCATAAAAATTTAAACTTTCATAATTTTAGTTTTAACTTTCACGTCTTTTTCATAAACAACAACAAAGAGGTTCAGCTAATAACAAAACCTAAAAGAGAAAGATAAAGTAATATCGCTAGAAACCTGTTCGAATCCGACCACCACCACACTCATCACCGGAAATCCATTTCCACCATCACTACACTTGTTGTCAGAAACCCGTTGCCGGCACCATTACACTTGTCTACCCTCAAGTGTTTTCTAGCCGCTGTTGTGGGTTCGGAGTCGGAAACCCGTGACATTGGAAAAACAACAACAACAACATAATCAGACATTGAAAAATAGTATCTTTTATAAAAATTTGAAGAGACAAGAAAAGAGAAAAAACTTTGAATCCATTGTGCTTCAAAGTTGTCACCCAAATTGCGCGTGTCCTCTTCAAGTAGTCGCTCATGCCACCATAAATTCATCAGACCACCACCTTATCACATCCCGCCGCTGGTAGATTATGATTCCATCTCTTTCTATTTTTCTGTTTTCAACTTGTTTTGGGTGTTTCTCTTTTGTTTCTCTTAGTTGTGAAAGTAACATAGATTATTTGAAGGTGGGTTTTGAAATACTATGAAGAAGAAGAATAACAGAGAGAGAGAGAGAGAGAGAGAGAGAGAGAGAGAGAGAGAGAGAGAGAGAGATGAGAGAGAGAGAGAGAGAGAGAGAGAGAGAGAGAGAGAGAGAGAGAGAGAGAGAGATGAGAGAGAGAGAGAGAAGAGAGAGAGAGAAGAGAGAGAGAGAGAGAGAGAGAGAGAGAGAGAAGAAAAATTTTGTGGAGGAAAAAATGAGATGAGAGAGAAGAGAGGTTGTGTGAGAAGCCTAAAAAAAGAGAGAAGATATGTTGCATCAGAAATGTGCAGTCTTGGGGAAGGGTGGGAACAATTCACCCCAAAACTTGTTTTCAGTTTAAATAATATACTTTTCAGTTACATTTAGTTGTAGTTGAACTATTAAAACAAAATAAATTTGCAATTTGTACACAAGTGAAAATAACTATATTTAAGTTAGAACCAAAAATATAAATTGGTTGCAAAAAGTAATTTTTTTTTACACAAAATGCCCATAATTTGATGAAGTGAAGGCAAAGAGAAAATGCTATTTTAGTGTTTTCCACAACATCTAATTTTCTTATATGAGAATTTCTTTTAACACTTAGTGCAATTCTTTATGACCTCTAGCGAAAATCCCAAAATACACCAAGACTTCATATATGCATATTCGAACTCACCATATTTGACAAAAATATGTGTGTTCGCATGTGCATATCCAAAATAATGTTATTTTGTCAAAAACAATGTGACTTTGGATGTGCATATTTGAATTCACCTCATAATTTATGACTTCGCATCCGAAGTCATTCTGTTGTTTTCAAAACCATGAACAAAACATATCTATTTCTATTCAAATAGAAAAACTTCACACTTCTACACTAAAACCCTTAATATTTTGATATTACGCACTTTCCCAACAACTTATGTACTAAATCATGTTTTCTTATGTCCGAACATCTAATCTAATCGTTATTTCCGTATTGTTATCTTCGTTTCATATTTTCGAAATAATCCTAAAAAATTTGTCTGTTTAAAATGTAAGGGTAATGGTGTTGTTTTCAACAAAAATGACACAGACCGAGAAAGTTTCTGAAATGCATATCTGAAATCACTTATACAAATGTTTCAGATATGCATTTCTGAAACAACCACTAAAATTTAAAATCTAAAATTTAAGTATTAAAAACATGAAAAAAATAGTGTCTTCAAATATACACATTCGAAATATACTGATAGATACGTTCAGATATGCATATCTAAAAGATATTTTCGAATTTTTAGTGGTGAAAATCATCATTACTAAATATAAGTAAAGAGAAATTCTCCTCTTATATTATAGATTAAACAGTAAAATATGTAAAATAATAATAAATTTGGAATGACAAAATCTTCTGTCGATGCCGACATACACAAATAGAATGCTAGATTATATTGGTAAATTCACATCCATCCCGCTTAATAATAAACCTTTGAGTATTTCACCATTTATCAAAACTCGTTGCACTCGATGACACACACTATTCTCTACATCTAAACTTCACCTTTACTCAACTCAATTCTCTTTCCGACATTGACATCACAACACTTGTTTCTGTTTTTCTTCAAACTCCAACAACCACTGAAAAAACATATCTCAAACTCTTACAATACCACAAGTACAACCATTTCACCTATGTTACAACCTAGTTTCACTGCTGTCTTTTCCCTGTTGTTTCTATGTTGGGTTTTGGTTCCTTTGGCAGAATCAGCCGTAGGTGTAAACTGGGGTACACTTTCTTCACACAGGTTGAAACCCTCTACAGTGGTTGATCTTTTGAGAGACAACAGGATCTCAAAAGTTAAGCTTTTTGAAGCTGATCCTGATGTGCTTAAAGCATTGATGGGGAGTGGCATTCAGGTTGTGGTTGGAATACCTAATGAAATGTTGTCTCTTTTGGGTTCTTCTTCTGTGGCTGCTGATTTTTGGGTTCGGCAGAATGTTTCTGCTTATATCACTAAAGGGGGTGCTGATATCAGGTTTCTTTAATCATATCTCAGATTTGGTTTTAAACTCATTAATTAATTGTTAAAACTTGAATAACCATGATTTTAATAATGAAAAATAGGTTGATTTTAATTCAGTATTGAAGTTATATTGAAGTTGCAATTTTGAAATGATAAAAGTTGTTACCAATGATTCAGATCAGAAATCTGTCTTTAGTGTGATATAGTACTATGACAAACACCTCTGGAAAAAAGTGTGTCAGTGTCACAGATGATGTTCAAGATATACTATGTTATACTATGGTGTCGATGTGTCAGTGTTGTGTTTGTGCTTCATAGGTGATAAATTCTTCTTTTGATGATTTTCTATTGGCCTCACTTACCTTTTACTATGTAATACAGGTATGTTGCGGTAGGAAATGAACCCTTCCTTACAAATTATAACGGTCAATTTGCGAACCTTGTTATGCCTGCAGTAACCAATATACAACAGTCACTAGTCAAAGCGAATCTTGCTGGTTATGTAAAGATAGTTGTCCCTTGCAATGCAGATGCCTACGAGTCCTCGGGAGGACTTCCTTCCCAAGGGGTGTTTCGTTCTGAACTGACTCAAATCATGACTCAACTTGTTCAGTTTCTTAACTCAAATGGTTCCCCGTTTGTTGTTAATATCTACCCGTTTCTTAGCCTTTACGATAATGGAGATTTCCCCCAAGATTATGCATTCTTTCAGGGAACTAGTCATGCTGTAACAGATGGTTCGAATGTGTACACCAACGCGTTTGATGGAAACTATGACACTCTAGTTGCTGCCCTCGGTAAACTCGGATACAATCAGGTGCCTATAGTTATTGGTGAAATTGGCTGGCCTTCGGATGGAGCTGTTGGTGCAAATATCACTGCTGCTAGGGTTTTCAATCAAGGCCTTGTCTATCACATTGCAAGTAACAAAGGGACTCCGTTGAGGCCGAACTCTCCTCCTATGGACGTTTATCTTTTCGGACTGCTTGACGAAGGAGCAAAAAGTACTCTTCCCGGAAACTTTGAAAGACACTGGGGTATATTCTCGTTTGACGGGCAAGCTAAGTATTCACTAAACCTTGGACTTGGAAACAAGGAACTAAGAAATGCGAGGAATGTTGAGTATCTTCCATCTAGATGGTGTGTGGCGAAACCCTCGAGTGATCTGACGAACGTAGTAAACCATATGAAAATTGCTTGTAGTGTTGCAGACTGCACGACACTTAACTATGGAGGTTCGTGTAATGAAATTGGCGAAAAAGGTAATATATCATATGCTTTTAACAGTTACTATCAGCTTAGAATGCAAGATTCACAAAGCTGTGAATTTGACGGGCTTGGTATGGTTACTTTCCTAGACCCTTCTGTTGGTGATTGCCATTTTCTTGTCGGAGTTATAGATAAAGGATTGAATTCATCTGCATCTCAAACAACCTATCAGTGGTGGGTTCTAGTATTATTTCTAACTTTACATTGGAGTTTTTTGCTTTCGATGTGATTTAGATGTTTCATTAGCGGGTTTTCATTGTCCCCTCTTGAGACTGCCAGAACTAGAATAGCTGCTATAGTATTTAATCTTAGATTATTCAAAAGATTCATGGTTTGTAGCCCAGATTATGATCATTATTAAGTCATTGTATCATATTAGACGACTGTATAAACACTATTGCACATATTTACTTCACGTTCGTTGTCGAACACTGACTTGTGTCAGACACCAGATACATTATCAATCTGAACTATGGATGTTGTTTAGTAATTGAAAGCAAAAGTGTTGATTTTTTAATTGAAATCGTTTGGAATCAACATAGCACCAAAAAGTTTGACTTATATTAAAGTTATCAAGATTCAAGAACAAAACAAACTTTTATGCAGAAAACAACCTATTTATCTGGCCTCCTGCATAATTATTTAGCAGCATAGTATTTTATTTCCCTGTGAAAGGAAACATTATATAGAACTTGTAGGTGCTTTGCTTCAACCTTTGTGATGCGTAGGTCAACCACAACAGCCTTCTTCACAACATACTATGCCACACCGAATCATTGGCTTAAATATGAACGTGCAGCAGCGACAACCTTCACAGAATAATGTCATAGCAGTTAGTTTAAGCTTAGTAAAATCTTGAATGGTATTACAACTTGATGATGATAACAATGAGTGCAAAAACATAATTTACCTTGAGGATAATAAACCAGGTTCTTCGAAGTTGGGATTATTGGGGTACGAGCATTTGAGTTTTCTGCATTAGCAGAAAGAACTGTGAATGCTATCAGCAAGAGGCATGAGAAAACAATGAGCAAAGCTGATATCTTCATCATCTTTTCAATCTTATTCATTCTCTTCACTTTGTAGGCCTATTTATAACAAGGTTTGTTCTTTGAGCAACAAGTTGTTGGACAAAACATGTTATATCTTAGCTAGTGGTGCATGCATTGCATGCATTGTCTTGTGGTCCTCATTTTTTATGCTCACCAATTTTGACTATCCATTATTTTAATACAATTTTCTTTACTGGTGCATGTCTTTGGATAAGCTAAATCATGTATATCTGAGTAATTTCAGATACTATCAAAGTACCGATTCTTTTTTAGAAAATCTCAAGTATCATTTAGTTACATATAGAATTTATATAGAGTGATGCCCCCTAACTTTATATTCGGTTTAGTAAGAATGAGTTAAGTCAAATTTTAATTTTAACATGTTATCAGAGTCTATCGAGCAAACTATAGATCATTCACCGTTATATTTATGCACAAAGTTCAATAGTGCTGAATGTCAGAGAATGTATTGAAACAATCTCAAATTAATTACTGATATCATACTAAGGCTGAAATGCATTTCATTCTCAATTATTTCATTTGGTTTCACTCCACACTGAGCACTATTGAAATTTGTGTGTGAATATAAACTTTGATAAAACAACACCAAGACAAATTGTATCATAGCTAATAAACAGTAGCGTAACTTTGTCGATTTGCAAATAAGAATATTAACTGTTTCACACCGACATCAATATTCAAGATATTTTTTTGGACAATCATCATTTGAGATGAGTATGGTCATATGCAGAGTTTCAACTTTGGACTAGTTTGTCCCATTTCATCATTACCTTCAACTTGCATTATCATTCATTAGTCCCACACCCAAAAAAACTAGTTCCTTTTAACGAAGTTTTATTAGCATTATTTGTAACAGCAGTTTAAGGTTTCACACCAGGGTATGAATGTATGTTTATAATTGAGACAATTTTTATCTTGCAGACCAAACTCTAATTTTTATCACGCGCCAAACTCAATAAAAATAAATGCGAAGGAAATGTTAAGAATTCTACATTAGAGACAATCCTTATCTTACAAATTAGTTTTAAAAGGTTGAATTAAATCAAACTCTAATGATTAATATTAACAACAGTAGTAAAATTACCTTCCTAACATAAATCACTTTTATATTCATTTCATTATACATCATAATCAAATTTACCGAACTATTTCATTCACAGACAATTGTGTTTGAATTGACGGTAGACAAAATTGCTTCTAACATAATTGAGTTTGATACAATTGATTTTATTAGAATTGAGTTTAGCAGAATTAATTTATATAAAAGTGAGTTGAACAATAAGTTTAAGTGTAAAAATCATTCAGAATTAATTCGGGAGACAGAAGCTACAAATTCTAGGTTCAAGTAGAATCAATTCTGAATTAATTCTAATTTTTTCTAACCAAACATGCACTTAGTCACCATAGAACTCAACACACATTAAAACTTTCAAAGTTAAATGATTAGAAGGAATATATATTGAGATAGAGATAAAGATGGAATCAAACATTGACTGTATTATCAGTTCAAAAGCTAACAATGACTGTAGTTTTAGCTTGAAACTTGATAAACACAGCCATATTCACAGGCAGGATCCAAATTATCAATTTCAAGTTGACTTGATACTCACACAGGCAAAATAATTTCTAGTTTTTGCTTTTCTTTTCTGAAACACTTTTCCCTATTAGAGATGTTTGTAGCTTGAACTTGTAAGTATTAGCTTCCCCAACTGGGAAAGATAAGTCTGATAACTTCCCATGAGCTCTCTTGTTGTCATAACCAGGATAGTCATCTTTGAAAAATGGAACAGCTTGGTGCAACAACAGTCCTCTCTTTTCTGCTTTCCTTACAATATCCCATTTGTTGTATGGATCACCTTCTTTGTGAGTTACATGTATCTCTCCTCCCTCTTTCTTTAATAGTGCTTTTGCATTTGCCATAAATCCCTTCAACAACTTTTTGTTCAACCTGTTTGGTTCCCAAAATTAGATGCATTAGTTACCATTCACAACCTCGATTAAGATCGAATATACTTAAATTAGAATTTTAACAAATGTCCAAGACCACAATCTAAACTATATATTGTCAGATGTGGAACTCTTGACACACTCTTTCACGTTCAAGATTGAACATTTGGGGCAAGGAAATAAATGGTGGGTGGTCCGATAGCAGAAACTTGATAGCGGTTGGTCCAACTAATCGAACCAGACTCTTTGTACAATGTTAAGAATTGTGATTTCAGCCTAACACATTCCTAATAAATCGGCTTGTAGGATGAGAATTCTCCCCCCTTATAAGGCACATGTTCAGATAATATATTGTCGGATATGAGACTCTTAATATCATGGATCACAATGTAAAAATGATAGTGGTGTACAACATCGATTATACCTAAGGGTGACAAAACGGGTCAGGTCCACCGGGCATGCTCGTTTAACCCGCACTTTTTAGTAGGGCAGCCCAAAATTATAGACTCGCACCCTCTAATTGTCCCGCCACGTTTTTTTTACGGAATTTTGCTGAAGCGAGCATTAACATAAAATTTACAAATTTTAAGTTAAAAAGATGAAGTGTCAGTGTGCTCCCTTCACCTTCATTTTTTTGCAAGACAGGCCAAGATTTTAAACCCGCGTCCTCAATAATGTCCGCTCAACCCCATTTTCTTACGGGTTTTTGAAGGGCGTACATGTCTGTTTGTCACCTATAATTCTAACGAATAATGTGGGGCCTAATGGATTTTTACTCATAGTTAGACCTAAGTCAACCCTAAAAACATGCTTATAAGTGAAAATGTAACCTACTTACAAATTCACTATTTCTTATCCAATGGGAGATTTTCATCACATGATAAAAGTAGTGATAATGAGATAGATAAACATGTATAAAAATAGTAAATGAAAGAAAGAAATAGGAAAGATTACTGAATCTGGCAGTAGCTATTCTCAGGGTAAATGAAGCCAACATGAGGAAAATTATAAACAACACGATCAAACCTCTGAGTCTTGAGAAAGAAATGCTGACTCATAACCTTAACATCAACATCATAAAGAACAATACAACCCCTTTCTTCAAGTTCCCTTGCATTACTAGCCCCATTACTATACTTCTTTTCAATTTTCTCTGCCAAAACAAAAAATCATTAAAATCACAAAATGGGCATGATGAAAAAGGTAGAAAGTTATGATTTTGATTACCCTGAGAATCAAGGGAAGTTGCAACTAGGTTGTGAGCAGAACCAAAAGCTCTGGCTAAACAAAGAGAGAAAGAGAAATCACCCTCTCCAACAAAGAGTATTTTGTGGTTTGATGAGTAGTGCTTTTTCCATTTCTGTGTGTTTGATGATGGTAGTTGTTCTTCTTCCTCTGATTCTTGTTGTTCATCATCATCAGTGTGAAGTTGATGATCAATTTGTTCTGGTATTTGACCCATTTGGATCAATAATCAATTTTCAACGATGATAAAATAAATGATTTCCACTTCTACCGACGCTAATCACCAATCATCATTCCTTTATAACAACAAAGAAAGTTGGAAACTTTACTATATGGTGTCTCTCTATTTCTCACTTTATATCATGAGTTTACAACGGTTTCTTTCTTTCTTTTTTCTTTCTTCTTTTTTTTATTTATTTTATTTTTAAATTTTCTAAATAAATTTAATTGAAATACATTCACGTTTGTTTTACAACATTTTCACACATTCCGTTAAATTTTTATAGATGTTTGACTTTTTTTTAATTATATATAAAGTATTAATAAAAAATTTGTATTATTGCATCGGTCCCGTCTTAATAATATACACCAACTTTTACGCATTGATATGTATTTAAAATAAATCGTACATTTGATTTTATAACTTCAATTGTATAAAACAACAACAAAAGAAAGATTTAAAAGAAACATGATGCGGGAGTAAATGTCATTGAAGATGATGGTGAAGAATCTGAGTTTGACAGTTGGATCTACCCGACTACTGATGGCGGACTAAGCAATAGGACGGCAAAGGACTTCGTGTCAATTTCTTTTATTATCCAGTAATGAGACTTTTGTTTTGAATTTGTAACAGACAATCTTTAAAATTTTACGGCCCGGTGCCTTACCCGAGACACCGTGGCTTTGTTTGTGAGGGCTTGATATTTGTCATCTCCATATATCATTAATAAAAGCATTGGACGTTTTCTTGCATTACAAATTTTGCGCTCCTTGTTTTTCTTTTTTATCTTGCAAAACAGCTATTTTACACACACTCACATATACAGGTCTACATCCACTTTAGATCCCACTGATAATGACTCTGCTACTGCCACTTATGACTTCGAAAATACGATCAACCAAGCTGAGAACGAAGGTGGGGACGATTGAGAAGTGCCTGGGGAACTCGCTAGACTATTGCTTCAAGAAGAGAGGGCCATACTACCTCCAAGCCACCAATTTTGATGCCTCCAATTGTAGGAAGACCGTTGATCTTATACTTAAAAGTGCTGGATAATACAAAGAGGTTTGCTGGGGCAGTATGACGAGTCTGGCCGAAAAGAGTATGCTATTTACTGCTTTAGCAAAAAGTTTACCGACTGTGAGACCCAATACTCATTGCTCGAGAGAACTTGCTGCATTTTGGCATGGGCTGCTCGCCGGCTGAGACAGTACATGCTGGCTCATACTACCCTTTTGATACCAAAAGATGTGAACGTCTTGACAACTCCTTGGCCTTTTGCAATGTGGGGCATTGACATGATCGGCGAGATCAGACCTACGGTATCTAACGGGCATCGTTTCATTCTGGTAGCAATTGATTACTTTACAAAGTGGGTTGAAGCAGCTTCCTTTGCTACCGTAACCAAGAACGTCGTGGCACGGTTCATTCGGCACAATCTCATTTGTCGATATGGTGTACCAGAGAATATCATTACGGCAATGGTACAAATCTCAACAATAAGATGATCACCGAACTCTACAAGCAGTTCAAGATACAGCATCACAACTCTTCTCCTTACCAGCCGAAGATGAATGGGGCTGTA